GTGAACCGCGCGGAGGGCTAACCTAGTTAACGGGCAGAGTGAACTGCGTGGAGGGCTAACCTAGTTGACGGGCAGAGTGAACCGCGTGGAGGGCTAACCTAGTTAACGTGCAGAGTGAACCGCGCGGAGGGCTAACCTAGTTAACGGGCAGAGTGAACTGCGTGGAGGGCTAACCTAGTTGACGGGCAGAGTGAACCGCGCGGAGGGCTAACCTAGTTAACGTGCAGAGTGAACTGCGTGGAGGGCTAACCTAGTTGACGGGCAGAGTGAACCGCGCGGAGGGCTAACCTAGTTAACGGGCAGAGTGAACCGCGCGGAGGGCTAACCTAGTTAACGTGCAGAGTGAACTGCGTGGAGGGCTAACCTAGTTGACGGGCAGAGTGAACCGCGTGGAGGGCTAACCTAGTTAACATGCAGAGTGAACCACGTGGAGGGCTAACCTAGTTAACGGGCAGAGTGAACCGCGCGGAGGGCTAACCTAGTTAACGTGCAGAGTGAACCGCGCGGAGGGCTAACCTAGTTAACATGCAGAGTGAACCGCGCGGAGGGCTAACCTAGTTAACGGGCAGAGTGAACCGCGCGGAGGGCTAACCTAGTTGACGGGCAGAGTGAACCACGAGGAGGGCTAACCCAGTTGACGGGCAGAGTGAACCGCGCGGAGGGCTAACCTAGTTAACGTGCAGAGTGAACCACGAGGAGGGCTAACCTAGTTAACGGGCAGAGTGAACCGCGCGGAGGGCTAACCTAGTTGACGGGCAGAGTGAACCGTGCGGAGGGCTAACCTAGTTAACGGGCAGAGTGAACCGCGCGGAGGGCTAACCTAGTTAACGTGCAGAGTGAACCGCGCGGAGGGCTAACCTAGTTAACGGGCAGAGTGAACCGCGTGGAGGGCTAACCCAGTTGACGGGCAGAGTGAACCGCGCGGAGGGCTAACCTAGTTGACGGGCAGAGTGAACCACGAGGAGGGCTAACCCAGTTGACGGGCAGAGTGAACCGCGCGGAGGGCTAACCTAGTTGACGGGCAGAGTGAACCACGCGGAGGGCTAACCTAGTTAACATGCAGAGTGAACCGCGCGGAGGGCTAACCTAGTTAACATGCAGAGTGAACCGCGCGGAGGGCTAACCTAGTTAACATGCAGAGTGAACCGCGCGGAGGGCTAACCTAGTTAACATGCAGAGTGAACCGCGCGGAGGGCTAGTTAACGGGCAGAGTGAACCGCGCGGAGGGCTAACCTAGTTAACATGCAGAGTGAACCGCGCGGAGGGCTAACCTAGTTAACGGGCAGAGTGAACCGCGCGGAGGGCTAACCTAGTTAACGGGCAGAGTGAACCGCGCGGAGGGCTAACCTAGTTAACGGGCAGAGTGAACCGCGCGGAGGGCTAACCTAGTTAACGGGCAGAGTGAACCGCGCGGAGGGCTAACCTAGTTAACGGGCAGAGTGAACCACGCGGAGGGCTAACCTAGTTGACGTGCAGAGTGAACCACGTGGAGGGCTAACCTAGTTGACGGGCAGAGTGAACCACGTGGAGGGCTAACCTAGTTGACGGGCAGAGTGAACCGCGCGGAGGGGAGCTGCCAGCCACGGGTGGCAAACCTTTCCCTTAGAAAAGGCGCTACCAGGAAATGATTTTCAGCGATAGGAAGGACCGGTGGGGACAGTAAGAGCTAGCTGTCGGTGTCCCCTTATGTCAGGAGAGGGCGCGGGGGAAGGTAAGCCGGCTTCATGGTGCCCTTGGGGGCTTAGCAGGTCACCGGGACTGCGACTGGGGGGAGGGGCAGGAAGTGCACCGGGCTTCCGGACACCCTGGTTCCCTGGGGGTGGCCAACCAGATGCCCCTGACCACAGTCCTCTGGTCCCCAGACCACTGAACGAAGATGTTTTGGAAGTGGGGTGAGGCGGGTTGGAAAGAGATTAACTTTTCCCCAAGAAGAGTCATAGAATTAGACAGCGAGGTCTTTCCAAAGGTCGCACGTGGTTTCCTAGACCTCATTAGTGCAGATACTTTCCATCTACTTTGTTACCAGCAGGATGGTCCCTGCCTCCACCCAGCTGCTGCTGGAGGCAGGGTCCCTGGCGACCTGTTGCTGTCCTCTCGCTACTTCGTGAACCAGGTCTGGAAGATGTGTCGGCCACGGACGGGGCGCCACAGTGTCGCGTCATCTTGCACAAACCGTGCGGTGAGACGGTTGCAGCCTGTCTCAAAGCGGCACACAAGCAAGGAGACCTGCATTTCCTTCCAGTGGTTTTGGGGGCGTCTTGTCATGACAGGGGGGTTTGCTGCCATTGGGCGCTTGCAGGTAGCCGGCGACCAAGAGGAAGTCGCGGTTTTTACCTTTGGAGACGCGCAGGGGCCGGTCCCCTCCCACAGAGCGAGCCTCGGGGGGCTGTTCACGCAGCCGCCCCGGTCGTTTTGGGGGGAATGATCGGTTCTGTTGCTGCGTGTTTTTATGACGTCATCGCTCGGTGTTACAGGTCTTTCCTCTATGACTCAAGACACCTCCTTTCCCTTTCTCTCCAGTCAAAGGAGCGGGTGGGCTGAGGACAGACTGCAGGACGGATGCAGGGACGGCCACCTCCCGTCACCGCCCACTGGGAGGCTGTGTTTTAGACTTCCTGGGCCTCTTCCCCAGCTGGGGCCAAGTGTCCAGACCTTCTCATGGGCAGGTGACAGAGAAAGACAATTAAAGTAGCGCGCGTGCAGCAGAAGGGGCCTGTCGGCTCACTGACCTGCGTGTCCACGGCTGCGGCTGTGGCTGTTCTGAGGGCTGAGGGGCGCCGGCTGCAGGACCAGGGCGGAGCCGCCTGGCCTGGGGGGTCTCAGCTCAGAGGCAGCGGGGGCTGTGCCCCTGTGCTGGCCCCGCCCTCTGGAGGAGCTCTTCAGGAACTGGGGACTTGGCGTCATCTGCCCCGTTGGGTCCTGATCCCTCGCACCTTGTGGCCGGCGGACATGGACACACTGCTGACGAATTACAGCCCCGCCTGGGGGGGCCAGGAGGCTGCAGGAGAGGACGGCTGAGAACAGGTGGGTTTCCCGAAGGAGAACGTTCGCGCGACTGGTAGGAAAGGGCGGAGGGAGGCTGAGGGCCGACCACAGGGACTTCCCGACGGTGGCTGAGGGACAGTCACTTGCGAGGTGCAGGCGTCTCTGTGGTTGGGTGTCATGGGTGACCTTGTTATATGATCGCGATTGCTTTGTTTCTTCATTTTTTTTAATCCTCACCCGGGGATATTTTTACATTCACCTTCAGACAGGGTGGGAGGGAGAGAGAAACATCGATGTGAGAGAGTCACATCAACTGGTTGCCACCCGCACGACCCCAGCCAGGGCCGGGATGAACCACAACCGAGGTACCTGCCCTTGGCTGGAATCGAACGCGGGACTCTTTGGTCTGCAGGCTCTAACCGCTGAGCCAAACTGGCCAGGCCCCTTCATTCTTTTTGACTCAAGTGCTTCTTTGCTGCAGACACTAGGGTGTTGTGCAGGTGGTTGAATCCGTTGCACACCCACACGGAGCCTCGGCTTCCGTCGGGAACGTGCGCGGATCCCTGTCAAGGGCGCTGCAGTCCTCGGAGCCGCTGAGTTCTCCTGTCCCGGGCCTGCCTTTCGGGGCGGCAGAGCGGCGCTGGGCTTGCATTCTACCCACAGATGGTTCTGTCTTCACTGCTGCCCCGGGAACACGAAAGTTCGTGAGTTTACGTCTTAAAAACACTGGGAAACAAAGGGCCTGTTTGGCCTGTCCTGGCTCACTGACCTCTTCAGATTTCTCTAGTTTCCATCCTTTATTGACTTCAGAGATGGGGGGGGGGGGGGGAGATGGAAACATCGATGAGAGAACATCGACTGGCCGCCTCCTGCACGCCTCCCACTGGGGATGGGCCCACAGCCTGGGCATGTGCCCTGACTGGATCAAACCGGCGACCTCTTGGTGCAGGGTCGATGCTCAACCGCTGAGCCACACCGGCCAGACCGTAAACAGAATGTGAATGTCCTTAGTAACATGCATAATTGAGTGTGTTAAAGAAAATCTGCTAATGTTTTCACATATCTTAATTATGAAAAAGTGGAGACTATTAAAAATAGTTTCTTTATCCGTACATGCACAGCAAAGAATGAAGTCCGCATAAACATGGCTCACACAGACGTTTGAAAATGACATTGGGAAGACCACCTGATCGTCTTCTCGACAGTTCATAGCAGGGAAAGAATTGTTTCGATGACTCATGAGCCAGCACATATTAATTTGTTTGTTTGTCAGAACAGGTGATGTGTAGGTTTTTATTTTATATATAACCTGTCACTCATTATTACACATTTGAGATTTTTTTTTTTATCAAGTCCAGTTGCTTTACTAAGGAAACTGCTTCCCCCGCTCCAGAGAGGAATGTATGTTGCCAGCCTAAGAGTGTGTATGTGTGTGTGTGTGTCTGTGTGTATCTCTGTGTGTGTGTGTATCTATGTGTATGTGTATCTGTGTGTGTGTATCTGTGTGTGTGTGTCTGTGTGTGTATCTGTGTGTGTGTATCTGTATCTGTGTGTGTATGTGTCTGTGTGTGTGTGTGTCTGTGTGTATCTCTGTGTGTGTATCTGTGTGTGTGTATGTGTCTGTGTGTATCTCTGTGTGTGTGTATCTGTGTGTGTGTATCTGTATCTGTGTGTGTGTGTGTGTATCTGTGTGTGTGTCTGTGTGTATCTGTGTGTGTGTATGTGTCTGTGTGTATCTCTGTGTGTGTGTGTGTCTGTGTGTATCTGTGTGTGTGTGCGTGTGTGTGTGTATGTATCTGTGTGTGTGTCTGTATGTCTGTGTTTTTCTCCTGTTTTTTGGTCCCTGCCATCGAACAGGGGAAGTGGCTGGGCTGCACACACCAATATCCGGCTCCCCTCAGCAGAGCCTTCCTTTAAAAATATTCCCACACCAGCACTCCAGGCTCATTAACGGGCTTAGAAAACCTTTGTACAGGACATATTGAAAATGTATTTTATACCATCCTCAAAATGCTATCAGAGAAAGAGATTACATTTTTTATTGCAAAGAACATGATTGACATCTGCTTTCCTTGGACATGCCACGAGACAGGTCCCTAGGGGCTTTCCTGAGGGGTTTTCTAGGTGTCTGAAAACCCCTCCTTCGAACCAGGCACCTCGACTCCCCCACAGCTAGCGGGCCCCTCGTCCTCCATCACACGTGCCTGCCTTTCGGGTGCCTTGGTGAGGCTGGTGGAAAGCCGTCCGCAACTTACTAACTTAGTTCTCGTGTGTAGAGAGAGCAGGCGCCCTGTGCGCTGTCTTCATTGCCGTCTGCTTTCTCGTTCGACGTTTGAAGTTCTGCGTCGGCTACCCGATTCGGGTGTATCGGTGTACACCTCCTATGTCGATACAAAGGGAAAACGTACGTACTGTTTCTTCTTTAATGTTCCCCCAAGCACGGACACTTAGATTTCAGTGAATGGTTGTCCCGAACTGGATGGGCACGCTCAGAGTGGACGCTGACCGTCGTGGCCGCTTTCTGCGTTCGCTGGCTCGGCGTGTCCCCGAAGGGCACGGCGTGCGCACGGGGCCCCGTCCGGGAGGCGGTCACAGCGTTTCCGTGCTCTCCTGTATCATGTTCCCCCTCCTGGCTCTGGACGTTTCTAGGTCCTGCGGCGCTCTCTGCGGGATGCGCAGTTTCTTGCACAACATCTCCCTGAACGGCTGGCACAGGAAGAAATAAATAATGGGGTCCAGGCACACGTTGGCCGCAGACAGCAGCAGCGTGAACTCCTTGGCGTACTGCAGGGCCCACTTGGTCTGGCAGCCAAAGTGCGCCCCCGTCTGGCTCTGCGTGTAGGAGATCCTGGCCACGTGGTAGGGCACGAAGCAGACGAAGAACACGAACATGATGCTGAAGATGTTGCGGCTGGACTTCCTCTGGACCGAGACGGAGTTCCTCCTGGACTTGAGGTGGGACTGGAAGATTTTCCGCGTGATGGCCGTGTAGAAGACGACGAGCAGCAAGAACACCACCCAGAAGAGGCTCACGAAGACGTAGTTGGAGGCTTTGTGCCACTGGAGCCCCAGCGGGTTCTTGAGCTCCATGCACTGCACCCGCGTGACGTCCCGGACGCCCTGGTCGGTCAGGATGATGTTGGGGACGGCGAGCAGGAGCATCAGCAGCCACACCGTCGCCGCCAGGACCCGGCTGTATGCCACCGACTGGATGGCGGAGGTCAGCAGCGGCTTGACGATCTTGTAGTACCGGTCGAAGCCGATGAGCCCAAAGAACACGATGCCCACGTACATGTTGACGTAGAACAGCACGGCGGACGCCCGGCACACGAACACGGTCAGCTGCCAGGGGCCCAGGCCCGCGTCGCTGAGGATCTTGAAGGGGAACGTCAGGCTCATGAGGAAGTCGGCCACCACGATGTTCTTGAGATAGACGATGAAGCTCTTGGAGCTGGGGATGTAGCAGAAGACCCAGCCCGACACGCCGTTGAGCAGCACGCCCCCGAGGAAGACCAGCAGGTACAGCGTGGGCAGGACGCGCTGCAGGAGGAGGGCGTCCGGGGTGCAGGGATCCGCGGGGGGCTGCGGGGCGGTGCAGTTCAGCGCCGGGTCGCTGCCGGAGCCCAGGCCTGGAAACACAGGGGAGTGGTCACTCACATGGCGCACAGCCTCCGAGTTAGGTGCCAAAGCGTAAAGCAAAAGACTCGAACGCAGTCAGCCCGCCATGTTCTGGAAATGAGGGTTTTGAGTATCAGACGCCCTCCTCTCTCCTCCTCCCCCACCCACCTTCTTTTTTCGAAAGGGGGACACAGAGCGGTCCGAGGACAGGGAAGCGAGATTGGCGAAGCTGGAGAGCTGGAGGTGACGCGGGGGACAGCGGTTCCCGCGGTGGGCACGGCTCTGCAAAACCCTAAGGTCCACGACTTGCTCATTTAAATGCAGTCTCAAAAGGCAATAACACCTGCCCGGCCTCAGGTGTGGCTCAGTGGTTGAGCGTTGACCCTGCACCAAGACTTGCTGGTTTGATTCTTGGTCAGAGCACATGCCCAGGTTGTGGCCCGATCCCTGGGGGGGGGGCATGCAGGAGGCGGCCAGTCGATGTTCTCTCTCATCGATATTTCCATCTCTCTCTCTGTCTCCCTCCCTCTCTCTCTCAAATCAATAAAGAAAAACGAAATGGAAAAAAAAAGGTAATAAAACCGTGAGAGTGGAGAATTGATTTGTTTCATTTAATTCAGAACTTTGTTTAATATATTAGGTTTAAGAGCTATTAATAGAAGCCTTACTCTTCGAAAGCCTGCCCTGGGCACATTCTGGGCACCACACAGTGTCTGCCAAGCGCACGCAACCAAACACAGCTGGTATTTCTGGTACGGGTTTCTGAGTACCTTTCAAAATTGATCTTTTCTCTGTTTTTTTTTTCCCCCATTGAAAAACTGATATGACTTATTATTATTATTATTTTTAATCCTCACCTGAGGATATTTTTCCATTTATCTTCAGAGAGAGAGAGAAACATTGATATGAGAGAGATCGACTGGCTGCCTCCCACACAACCCAACCAGGGCCGGGATGAACCGCAACTGAGGTGTGTGCCCTTGACCGGAATCGAACCCGCGACTCCTTGGTCCACAAGCCGATGTTCTAACCCCTGAGCACCACCGGCCAGGGCGATTTGCATTATTTTTATAAATAAGGAAGCAAGCATGAAGGAGTGTTTCAGTTCTGACAGGCTTCAGCTCGGTGCATCTAGATCTGCCCGCCCGGGGGAGCCTGACCAGCTGCAGCCCAGCGGTGCCCGCCCAGGTCCAGGTGTGCCCCAAGGACAGAATGCCCCGCCCAGGTCCAGGTGTGCCCCAAGGACAGAATGCCCCGCCCAGGTCCAGGTGTGCCCCAAGGACAGAATGCCCCGCCCAGGTCCAGGTGTGCCCCAAGGACAGAATGCCCCACCCAGGTCCAGGTGTGCAGCAAGGACAGAATGCCCCGCCCAGGTCCAGGTGTGCAGCAAGGACAGAATGCCCCGCCCAGGTCCAGTTGTGCAGCAAGGACAGAATGCCCCGCCCAGGTCCAGGTGTGCCCCAAGGACAGAATGCCCCGCCCAGGTCCAGGTGTACCCCAAGGACAGAATGTCCCGCCCAGGTCCAGGTGTGCCCCAAGGACAGAATGCCCCGCCCAGGTCCAGGTGTGCCCCAAGGACAGAATGCCCGCCCAGGTCCAGGTGTGCCCCAAGGACAGAATGCCCGCCCAGGTCCAGGTGTGCCCCAAGGACTGAATGCCCCGCCCAGGTCCAGGTGTGCAGCAAGGACAGAATGCCCCGCCCAGGTCCCGGAGTGCCCCAAGAACAGAATGCCCCGCCCAGGTCAAGGTGCGCCCCAAGGACAGAATGCCCCACCCAGGTCCAGGTGTGCCCCAAGGACAGAATGCCCCGCCCAGGTCCAGGTGTGCCGCAAGGACAGAATGCCCCGCCCAGGTCCAGGTGTGCGGCAAGGACAGAATGCCCCGCCCAGGTCCAGGTGTGCAGCAAGGACAGAATGCCCCGCCCAGGTCCAGGTGTGTCCCAAGGACAGAATGCCCCGCCCAGGTCCAAGTGTGCCCCAAGGACAGAATGCCCCGCCCAGGTCCAGGTGTGCCCCAAGGACAGAATGCCCCGCTCAGGTCAGGTGTGCCCCAGGGACAGAATGCCCCGCGCAGGTCCAGGTGTGCCCCAAGGACTGAATGCCCCGCCCAGGTCCAGGTGTGCCCCAAGGACAGAATGCCCCGCCCAGGTCCCGGAGTGCCCCAAGAACAGAATGCCCCGCCCAGGTCAAGGTGCGCCGCAAGGACAGAATGCCCCGCCCAGGTCCAGGTGTGCGGCAAGGACAGAATGCCCCGCCCAGGTCCAGGTGTGCAGCAAGGACAGAATGCCCCGCCCAGGTCCAGGTGTGCCCCAAGGACAGAATGCCCCGCCCAGGTCCAGGTGTGCCCCAAGGACAGAATGCCCCGCCCAGGTCCAGGTGTGCCCCAAGCACAGAATGTCCCGCCCAGGTCATTAGAACTATGTCATTGAACAGAAGATATCCGTCGCCTTCATGTCACTCTTCAGGCGGATGGCTATTGGAACAGTGAGTTACATGTGTGGTGATTTCACTGGGCAGCACCGTCCTCAGGGTGACCCAGGATCTTCTGATGGCGAGTCCTGCCCGTCCTTTGCTGGTGGCAGACACTGATGCAGCACGGGGCAGGGGGGGTTCTAGCTGCTCTGAAAGACTGTTTGCTGCATCAGAGCCAATATTCATTGCCCATCTCATAGGTGATAACAGCATCCTTGCCCTCAGGATAACATTCTAACCCTTTTCTTTAATAGCAACTCTATTTTATATTATTATATTTCCCTTGTTGATTTTGGAGGGAAAGGGAGAGATAGGAACATCGATGGGCCGCCTCCTGCACGCCCCCTATTGGTGATCGGGCCCACAACCTGGGCATGTGTCCTGACCGGGAATCGAACTGGCGACCTCTTGGTGCAGGGTTGACACTCAGCCACTGAGCCACACTGGCCGGGCTATTGTAACTCTTAACACTGAGCGCCTTCTGGGTCTGATCCCCGCTCCCTCCCCCTCCCGCACGGAGCCCTGCTGCCCTGAACCTCTGACTCCTTGCAGGTCTCACGAGGTCTCTCACGTTGGTCCCTTTGCACAAACTTCCGTTTGTGTGGAAACTGTCTGGATGCCTTCCTGGCGGATACCTTCTCTTCGTGCTTGAGGCTCGGCTAGGGTGTCCCTTTCCTTGGGAGACTTCTGCATCCGAGCCTTGGTGGGGTGCAGTGGGGGTGGGGTTCCGCCTGTGCTGGGGATTCTGTGCCCCTGTCCTGCCCAGCCCCCTCTCGGCCTTCGTCCTGTTCCCTCCCCTGTGTGAGCCCCTTTACAGGAGGCCACGCTGTTCTTCATTTTTATTTTTTACCGTTGTGTTCCTAGCGTTATACTCAGGTTGTCCGGTAGTTGAAATACTTGGGAAATCAGCGAATACGCAGTCTTGGAATGTAAGACTTGAGGCCCTGCTCCGGAGAAACCTGTACCTAGTCCGCGGTCCCAGGAGGGATCCTGGAGGAGCGTGGGTTCCTTGCGCTGGGGATGGAGCTTGTTCACCTTCGTGTGTCTGGTGCCGAGCACGGCGCTGTCCGCACACGAGTGAGCCGGTGAATAAAGGTGGTGTGAGGAGGTGGAATTTGGGGACAGGAAACACAGGCACATTGCAAATAAAGAAATCATGCTCCCAAATGTGTGTGCTGTCCACACCGACCCGCTTCTCGTGCGCCTCATTCCGTGGGGCGAAACGGGACCTCCCTCCACGCGACTCTGCCGGCCCCGGACCTCTGTTCCGGGGGGAGCGTCTCCACTGGCCACGGGTCTGCTCAGACTGGGTCACGCTCACTGGCTTCTCCGCAGGTCCTCAGTGCCTTGTTTCATGTTTTATTTTATTTTATTTACTTTTTTATCCTCATCTGAGGACATTTTTCCATTTTTTGTTCAGATAGAGTGGGAGGGACAGAGAGCGAGCGAGAGAGAAACATTGATGTGAAGGGGACACATCGAGTGGCTGCCACCTGCACGACCCCAACCGGGGTTGGGGACAAACTGCCACCGAGGCACATGCCCTTAGCGGGAACCGAACCCGGGTCTCCCTGGACCACAGGCGGACGCTCTAACCGCTGAGCCAAACCGGCCAGGGCTTGTTTCATATTTTAGATGGAAAGCAAAGGGGCCACATGTTCTATCTGGAATGTCCACTGTGACAAAGAACCTGTGTCCAGGGGTTAATTTGTCTTGTTCCCTGATGGTCAGATGAAGCTTTCATCCAAGAACCAGTGTCATAGGGCATGTCCTACATTCCCAGGGCCCCTGCTGGGGACAGTCACCTCTGCAGCCAGTGTGGGGTAGCGCTTGACTAGAGTTCAAAATATTCAATGAGCTCTGGCCAGTTTGGCTCAGCGGCTAGAGCATCGGCCCGTGGACCAGAGAGTCCTGGGTTCAGTTCCCGCTAAGGGCATGTACCTCGGTTGCAGTTTGTCCCCGGCCCAGGTTGGTTGTGCGGGTGGCAGCCACTCGATGTGTCCCTTCACGTCGATGTTTCTCTCTCTTCCTCCCTCTCTCCCTCCTGCTCTACCTGAAGATAAATGCAAAAAATGTCCTCGACGAGGATCAAAATATATGCACATATTAAATGAAAAAATGTACATATTTATACATTTGAAGTAGAGGGAAATATTAATTATATAATATATAATTATGTAGCGAAATGGTGAAGACTTTTCCGACATGTTCCCAGTGTCACTCCTCTGGGAACATTCCAGAAGCCACCACGTATGCACAGTGAAGATTTTCCCGGAAACGATTTCGTGAGAGCCCCAGTCCTGAGGGAGGTCTGTGTAAAGACATTGCTCAGCCTTCTGCTCCTGCCCTGGAGCCGCAGTATGTCTGATGCGGTGGGTCCAGGCTAGGTTGTCAGGTCCCTCAAAGTGTTGAGGACCCAGGTGTGCCCTTGGGACGCCCTCACTGGCCCCTCACCGCCGCACTTTAAGGTCGGCTCAAGGCGCCGCCGGACCCAGGAAAACTAGGGCAGGTGCGTCGTCTGAAATGGAGAGAATGCCCAAGGCTTGGGTGTTCCCCCAAACCCCTTGCTGTATGGGCTGCTTTTAAGCAATTGCAGATGACAGTCCCCCTTTTTGGATGTTACGGTGGAGACACGCTGGTTGGGGCCAGGGGCGGGGTATCCCTGCCCCCTGCGCCGCTGTCTGGTCGGGGGAACCGAGCGCCAGGTGAATCCAAGCGTTTGGGTGTCATTCTCCAGCTCTGGGGTCTGTTCTCCTTCAGCGGTGGTGTCGGTCGCGGGGCGTGGTGCCTTCCTGGAGGTGCACGTGCCCTGTCCGTGGTCTCCGTGTCCTTGGTGTCTTGGAGCTTGGCAGCCTTTCTGCAGTGACAGACGGAGAGGTACGCAGGAAAGGACCCTCAAAGCTTCGACAGCACGTGATGCACTTGCGTGGACTGAGGCCAGAGGGCAGGGATATGTGTTGGGTGAAGAGCAGGACAAGATGCTGAGACGTTGGCCCCTCCCCTTGCCTCGTCTGGGGCACAGAGTCATCGAGTGCCCCGTGAAGGGACCGGCCGGGTCATTTCACAAGCGGAGGAAATGCTGATTGTACACAGTCACGTAAAAACAAACACGCGTCAAATGAATCAGGAAGAAAAGAAAGAATGTCTTGGTGTGGCCGGACAGCCCTCCCTTCCCTGCCCCAAGCCTCCGTTGGATGGACGGTTTCTAAGCTGCTTGCTTCAGCCCATTAAAAATCAAAGACATGCCCGACCGGCGTGGCTCAGTGGTTGAGTGTTGACCCTGCACCGAGAGGCCGCCGGTTCGATTCCCGGTCAGGGCACAAGCCCAGGTTGTGGGCTGATCCCCAGTGGGGGGCGTGCAGGAGGCGGCCAGTCGATGTTCTCTCTCATCCATGTTTCTCTCTCCCTCTCCCTTTCTCTCTCTCTAGAATCAATAAAGGGGAAAAAAAATTAAAAAAAAAAAGACAGGCAAAGGGCGGGGAACATGAAGAGGACCTCGGGATGACGGTCCAGGGGAAGAGCGGGCAGGCCAGTCTGTGCAGGCGGCCAGCCCTGCCGAGGCGTCAGTCCTTAGACGCTATCTGAATTTCTGTCCTGAACGTCGCCATCCCATCAACCTGGTCCCTCAGGAATGCAAACACCCACTGACGAGCTCTCCTTGTGGCAGAACTTTTTAAGGACACGGGACAGTGTGAGTTCAGCTTCTCCTGGGCGGGACTCCTCCCTTGTCCCGCAAACGCAGGAGAACGAGGTAGGAGCCCGAGGGGTCGGTCCGCAGGGCCCTTGACGTTGGGTCTTTGGAAACATAATGAAAGGAAGGAGCCCAGGAGCCCAGAGAAGGCTGCGCGGCAGCACGTGGGCTGCTTTCTCCCAGGGTGTCCGCACAGCTCCAGTGTCCGTGCTACAGGTCTGTCCCAGCGAGACGGCGCACCTGTGTCCCGGCCGCGTCAGGCCTCGGGCCGCGCTCAGTGTCCTCAGGTGGCCGAGTACCGCGGGGCGCTCTCCGAGCAGAACGTAGTTGACACAGAGCCATTCACCGTGATGCTCACCCCAGAAATACGTTCACCCGAATAGGAACACGCGAGCTCAGTACTCACCTGCTGAGTCGTTGCAGTGATCCATCTTCTTCTCGTCACGTGCCGTGAGTCTCCTTTCTCCGAAGAAGGGGACTCATTCCTCCATGACACTGATGAAGTCACCGACCGTGGGGTGCTGAGGTTGTTCCAGGCACCTGGGCAGTGTCTGCCCGCGGTTTCTCCGCAGCGAAGTGCTTTTCAGGGGCTGCTTGTCATCGGGAAGCGGCCCAAGTGTGCCTTTACCACAGCCTGTGTAGGGGGGAGACGAGGAGCGCGTTACACGAACACCGGCGTGCGGGGTGCAGCGTGATAACCCCAGCGTGCGGGGTGCAGTGTGATAACCTGGCATGCGGGGTGCAGCGTGATAACCCCAGCGTGCGGGGTGCAGTGTGATAACCTGGCATGCGGGGTGCAGCGTGATAGACCCTGGTGTGCGGGGTGCAGCGTGATAACCTGGCATGCGGGGTGCGGTGTGATAACCCGGCGTGTGGGGTGCGGTGTGACAGACCCTGGCGTGTGGGGTGCGGCGTGATAACCTGGCGTGCGGGGTGCGGCGTGATAGACCCGGCGTGTGGGGTGCGGTGTGATGACCCTGTGTGCGGGGTGCGGTGTGACAGACCCGGCGTGCGGGGTGCGGTGTGACAGACCCCGGCGTGCGGGGTGCGGTGTGATAGACCCCAGCGTGCGGGGTGCGGTGTGACAGACCCCGGCGTGCGGGGTGCGGTGTGATAACCCCAGCGTGTGGAATGGTGCGGCAGTTCCGCACGTGCATTTGTCGGTGTGCCGGACCAGTCTTGGCCGTCGATGTCGATGATTTGGTGTGCGCTCTTCCGGAAAACGTATAAATTCTTCACTTGAGACTGTTGGGCATGCAGTGTTTTTAGTTATTGGTTTATTTATTTAGTTATTTATGTGTTATTTTTTTTATCCTCACCCGAGGACATTTCTGTATTTATCTTGAGATAGAGCAGGAGGGAGAGAGGGAGGAAAAGAGAGAAACATCGATGTGAGAGAGACTCATCGAGTGGCTGCCACCCAACCTGGGCCGGGGACAAACTGCAACCGAGGTACGTGCCCTTAGCGGGAACCGGACCCGGGACTCTCTGGTCCGCGGGCCGACGCTCTAACCGCTGAGCCACACCGGCCAGGGCTCCAAGACCACATTGAGTAGCAAGTTTGTTTTCGGAGCTTGTACACAGGGCATTGTCTGTTTGGTGAGGAGGGTAAACAGTTGTGCTTTTCTTTGCTGTGGTTGGGACCCCGGACAGGAAGGGGTGCCCTACAGGGCCTAGGATCGTTCCAAGCGCATTCATTACGGACCTCGCCATGACCTCATTCTCGAGCTCCCCTGGAAATGTAAATATGTGTTTTACAGAAATGCACTTGCGAATGAATGCGTGATAAAGAAATCCTGTATTTACCCGTGATATTGCTGACAGGTCAGGGGGTTCTCTTTAGGACAATCACAGGAGGGATTGAGTTCTGTGTGGGGCATCAGCGCCGGTGGTACCGGTCATGTCCCGGTCCGAGCTCCATGGCAGGGGTCAGTCCTGGGGACCGGAGGAGGGAGGGCAGTGCAGGGCTTTGGGCTTCCCTGAGGTCGCGGGATCTCATCTCTCAAATCCAGAAACCATCCTGGCTCAAGATCACTCTCAGGACTCACCCGGCGATGGGGGAATGCGTTTGGCAAACAGTCGCTTCTGTACTTGCATATGTGAAATCTATCCTAATCGGGGAACACCGTGCATAGAGGGTGGACTGGTGTCAGATCACTGTTCGCCCGTCTGTGATGAGCGCGTTTCATGCTGGGCTTGTTCAGTTCTTAACAGGGACAGGCTGGCCCCGGCCGGTTTGGCTCAGCGGTTAGAGCATCGGCCCCTGGACCAGTGCGTCCCGGGTTCGATTCCGGCCAAGGGCACGTGCCTCGGTTGCGGTGCGTCCCCGTCCTGTTCCGGGTTATGCGGAGGCAGCCGGTCGATGTCTCTCTCACATCAGTGTTTCTCTCCGTCTCTCTCTGTCTCTCCCTCCCACTCTACTTGGTGATAAGTGGAAACATGTCCTCGGGGGAGGAATAAAAAAAAAAAAAAGAAAAAGAAAAAGATTCTGATGTTTGGACCAGGAGGTAGGAGCTATCAGACTGTCACTTTTTAATTTTTTTTTTTTATTTCTCCCCCGAGGACATGTTTCCACTTTTTGTTCAGGTAGAGTGGGAGGGAGAGAGAGAGAGAAACATCGACGTGAAAGGGACACATCGAGTGGCTGCCACCCGCACAACCAACCAGGGCCGGGGACAAACTGCAATCGAGGTATGTGCCCTTAGCGGGAACCAAACCCGGGTCTCTCAGGACCGCAGGCCGACGCTCTAACCACTGAGCCAAACCGGCCAGGGCCAAACATCAGAATCTTTGGTCCAGGGTACCCCAGATCTTTTCCTGTGAGATAAATATTCGTTCTCCAGGCGATTCTTGTAACACCGCAGAATCGCATAGGTCTGGGTAAGCACTGTGTACATTTCTAAGGGAACCCCGGCCTTTTCTTATTGTTTCTGGTTTTAGCTCCCTCATTCGAGTGTGTACTTTCTCTCTGCTTCCTTCTTGGGGCCAGTCTGCGAACAGTCCGGACGGTCGACTAGCAGGAGGTCGGTGTATGGATTGCTTCTTCAATCATGTCATGTTTTGTAATGTTTTATGTTATTAAATATCTTATAGTTTATACTATTCCATCATCTTAACTCTAAGCGTGTCCTCAGGCTCCGGCTGTCCGCATTCCCAGGGAGGTTGGCTCTTTCAGAATTTCCCCAGTCCTGACCCGTGGTCCCGCCTCTCTCCCCAATGTTCTGACTCCGTGTGGGTCGGTGAACAGATTCTTATAAATTCCCAGGGGCCATCTGGCTTCTCTCCTGCTCTCCTCGTCCTCTGTCTGGCCTGTGCTCCCAGGCTCGGCCCCTGGGAGTCTCCTTCCCTCCGTCACCTGCCAGAACAGGCCCATCTTGTCCTGCCCCGTCTCCCTGAGGCTCTCGTCCTGCCCTGTCTCCCTGAGGCTCTCGTCCTGCCCCGTCTCCCTGAGCAGCGGCTGCCTGAGGCTCTCGTCCTGCCCCGTCTCCCTGAGCAGCGGCTGCCTGACGCTCTCCTCCTGCCCCGTCTCCCTGAACAGCGGCTGCCTGATGCTCCCGCACCTGCCCAGTCTCCCTGAACAGCGGCTGCCTGAGGCTCTCGTCCTGCCCCGTCTCCCTGAGCAGCGGCTGCCTGAGGCTCTCGTCCTGCCCCGTCTCCCTGAACAGCGGCTGCCTGACACTCACCGCACCTGCACGGGCTGCGGGCCACCTTATCTTCTTCTCCTGACCCGTTGGCGGCACTCGGCGCTGCTCCCCCCGCCTGAGCACCTGTGCTCTCCAGGTGCCCCGTAACCTTTGGCTCCTGCGTATTCCCGATCTTTCTTCCTTTGCCAAGACTCCTGTTCTTCGGCTCGTGTTTGCCAGGCGTGGTGGAAACGCACCTGCCACAGGAGGTCTCGGAAGGTGGCAGTCGGGGGAGGCAGACAAGGAGGCATAGGAGCCGGACGGGCACCAGCCGGACTGTGGGAGCCTGGATGTGGGTGCCCGAGGGAGTGGCCTTGGGCCAGCAGAGGCGCGGAGAGGGGTTTGGGCAGAGAGCTACCAGGTACGCGCACCGGGACACCTGAGCACTCGGGGTGCCTGCCCTCTGGGGGGACACAGTGGTGCCCTGTTACCCCCTCTTGCAAAGACAACACTGATGCTCAGAACACCCAGTCACTCACCAAGAGCAAACTGGCGGCTAACACGCGACCAGACCGCACCCCAGCTTAGGTCTGCTCAGCCGGGAGCCGGCGGGCGTGCGCGGGGCAGGGTGCTCGCCCTCGTCTGTGCCTATGAGCGCGGCCCGGGCCCCCGCACTCCCCGGCCGGCCGTCTGCAGAGTCCCCAGACCGCCGGGTTGCGGGAAGACGCGCAGGTGCGTGTGAGTGGGTGAGTGTCCTGTTCGTGAGCGGGCTCTGAGGGCCTGCAGGTGGGCGCTCCGTGCTCCCTCGTCGGCCTTCCGGGGCCCAGCACGGAGGTCCTCTGGGTGCCGTCCTCTCAAGCACAGATGTGTGTCCGATGTCCCCTTTCCACCCAGCTTCCTGTGCTCAAGCCAAGGCACGGGGTCGGCTGTTCACAGTGTCCACAGAGCAGAGCACGCCGAGCAGCGAGTGGCCTGGGACCTGGACGCCCGCCCACCGGGGCCCTGGCGTGAGGGGGTGTCGGCGTGGTCCTCGCTTTCAGTCTCTTTTCTCTCGAAGTAAAAAAGAACAAGACATGAGTCCTTGGTTCGGTCTGACGCGATCCTCCTACCTGGCCCCACGGCCAACCTCGCCTTCCGTTCGAGGCTAGGTCAGTGACGCACACCCTGGAATTCACCTTCAAATTGGGGGAGTGCAGCGGCCACACCCCGCGGTCCAGAAACCGAGTCAGTTCCTTCTCATGGAGCATCTGCCCTGCTTCGCTCCACTGACCCGAGCACAGCTCGGGCCGACCGCCCGGCCTCTCCCGGGGCCCTCGTCAGACCCCGAAACCCACGAAGACCGAAACTCTGCGTCGTTGCTACACAGCGCCAGCCTGCGTGCTGGGCGGTCGCCGGGCAGCGGGCTCGTGTGGCTGAGGAGCCGCTGAGGCCCACACCTCACTCCACTTTCCCTTCCGACCACTTCCCGCGAAGCGCAGAACCTGTGGCAGCGGGCAGGCGGTGCGTCCAGAGCCCGGCTCCGTCCTCCTCGTGTCTCCTCCTCCTCCTCGTGGCTCCTCCTCCTCCTCGTGGCTCCTCCTCCTCCTCGTGGCTCCTCCTCCTCCTCGTGGTTCCTCCTCCTCGTGGCTCCGTCCTCGTGGCTCCTCCTCATGGCTCCGTCCTCCTCGTGTCTCCTCCTCCTCCTTGTGGCTCGTCCTCCTCGTGTCTCCTCCTCCTCCTCGTGGTTCCTCCTCCTCGTGGCTCCTCCTCATCGTGGCTCCGTCCTCGTGGCTCCTCCTCATGGCTCCATCCTCCTCGTGGTTCCTCCTCCTCGTGGTTCCTCCTCCTCGTGGCTCCGTCCTCCTCATGGCTCCTCCTTCTCCTCGTGGCTCCTCCTCCTCGTGGCTCCTCCTCCTTGTGGCTCGTCCTCCTCATGGCTCCTCCTCCTCGTGGCTCCATCCTCGTGGCTCCTCCTCGTGGCCCCATCCTCCTTGTGGCTCCTCCTCGTGGCTCCTCCTCCTTGTGGCTCCG